CCCATTGTTTTGCAGCCCAAAGAGGAAAAGGCATATTCTGTGTGAAATAATAGTATGATTATGTGAATTAGATTTCTTTTTTCTTTTCTTTTTTTCTATTTCCCTTGCATGAACCATAATAATTTTTGGTGTAAAATTGCTTGCAGGGTTTTATATTACTCTGTGTTCAAGCCCATCTCCCAGAATTAAGGCCACCCCCTTGCAAGATTATGTCCCATGAGTACTGTCCTGAGGCAAAGGGGTACAAGGCTCTGATATTCTTTGCTGCAATATATCTGGTGGCCTTAGGAAGTGGTTGTCTAAAACCAAACATAATCTCTCATGGGGCTGACCAATTCAGGAGGGATGATTCCAAGCAATCCAAGAAGTTATCGTCTTACTTCAATTGCGCCTACTTCGCCTTCTGCATCGGAGAACTTATTGCATTGACTGTTCTTGTTTGGGTCCAAACACACTCTGGAATGGATGTTGGCTTTGGAGTGTCTGCAGCTGCCATGGCAATGGGATTAATTTGCTTGACTTTCGGTACACCTCTCTACAGGAACAAGCCCCCTCGCGGAAGTATTTTCACTCCAATTGCTCAGGTAAGCTTTCACTTGCCTTTCTCCTTTAATCTCTTTCTCTACAGAGTTTTATTATAAATGCCTTTTTCTACTTTTAGCCTTTGGAAATTGAGGAGCCTTTAGGCTATATGCAAGCTTTTGTGTCAGTTATAAGCTAATTCAACTCCAGTAAAGGAAGTTCTTTTTCTCGTTTGGTGTATGAGTGTGTTGGTGTGTGTTTCTGTAATGTTTTAGAGACTTTCTTGTAGCTCAATTTGCTGTTATATATTTTAATTATTCCTGGCACCCCACCCCCTATGAAAATACCCCGACCGACCATACTTAAAATAATTATCAAAGTGCGCATGATCAATGTCTCTTTCTGATCCTTCAATTAATTTATTCATGTTTCTGTTGATCATCAGGTCTTTGTTGCTGCGTTTACAAAGAGAAAGCAAATCTGTCCTTCCAATACAGAAATGCTTCATGGAAACCAAAACAATGTGCCAAACCACCTCTTCGTTCCAATGTCGCCTAACATCAGCCCTCTCCTCCATACTGAAAAGTTCAGGTGGGTTTGCTTTGCTTGCATGATTT